GGGGGGAGCAGAGGGGGGTTGGGAGGGCAGCGACTTCCCGAGCATACCCACGGCCTCATTTTGATCTGCGGTACTGCCTGCTCATTTCCACTTCACAGATGCTGCTGAGCTCTGCCACCGAGAGACAAATCCCAGAAGGGGAAGGGAGCGTGGTGGGGAGGGAAGAGATGAAAGCAGAAAAGAGCCGCATTTATTAAGCTGTTTTTCTTTCAGTGAAAAGAAGCATTTATCAGTGATTTCATATATCATGTGCGATGTGGCTCCCTGCCAATTTCTAGGGATGCAAACAAGCCACTGACATCATACACTAAATATAGAGCAGCTCCTGCTTTAGGTGAAATAAATAATGCAGATGCAAAAGCCCAGGTCTTCAGTTACACATTCATTACCATCCATCTGTCAGGTTCTCATCATCAGCAGAACAACGTCCGACTTCAGCAAGGAGTGACAGGTGAAGAATGCAAAACAACTGCAGACAATAGGTGATTAAGCAGAATTTCCTTGTTCTCTGCTTTTTTGTTACAGCTACATTTTGTTGCGGCAGTAATCCATGGTGCAGCTTTTGCAGCGCAGCTCTGCCACCTCCCTCCCTTTCCCTTCAAGCCAAGCTCGAAGTGACAAGCCTGGGTGGGGAGAGCCTGAACAATGAACACGGCCAAAATGTGGAAACTTCCCTAGGCGCTTAGCAGAGGGAAAAAAAAAACCAAAAAAAAAACCACCCAAAAAAAACCCACCACCAAACCACAGAAGAAAGAAAAAGGGGAAAGAAAAAAAAAAAAAAAAAGGCTCTGATCAGACTGTGCAAGCAGTAAAGCAGCAGCATCCCCCTATGAAAAAGAAGTTTTCCATGCCCTGTCAGAGAGAGGTTTAAATTAGGGTGTCCTAGGGCTAATTGCTCTTGATTCACCTCGTGTTTTTATTTAAGGCACACATTTTAACAACTGCACAAGTGAACCTGTAGCTGGCTCCACAGCATATTATTTTAGCTCTCAGAAAGCACCCCAAGAAGGATTAGGATTGATAATAAAACCCAATCGATATTTCCCCCTTCTCCTCTTTCAGATCAAAGGCACTGAGCAGGAGGAAGTGTCCCAACCCATCCTTACTGGGGGAGGACAGAGACAGGAGACCAGGAAACAAGAAGACAATGCACCATCAAAGCTGCCGCAAGGTGTTGGATCAATGACAACATCTGCATGAGGGTCTGGGCTACAATAGAAGCTGTTACCATGGGAACGGGTGCAAAAGCATCAAGCTGGAGGGAGCAGGCGATGATGAAAGGTGGGAAAGCGGGAGAGAGTATTTTTAGATCGCTTAGGAGGAATGCTACACAATGACATCATTCTATCTCATTATTTGCACCCATGCTGTATAACGCATTGTGGCATCTGCCCCAGGCTGTTAAATGGGAAAATGTTATTATGGATGTGAATTATAAATACTGCGGTGAAACTTGAGCTCAGGAGTTATTAGACATCACTATTCTGTAATAAAGGAGAGCATTTAATACACTGTGCTGTACAGATTCACTGTACGGTGCAAGAAGCATTGTGTCTAGGATTTTAATATTCTCAGAAAGTAATTATGAATCATCCTTTTATTGTTATTAAAAAGCAGAGTGCAAGTAATTTTACACATTTGATATCCCACATATCAACAAGCCTTTTGCACTGGAGAAGCGTGGCCTAATTTTCCAGAGTGCTGCGTGCCAACGTGCTCAGAATGAATGTGGTAGTAGTCGTAGGTGCTCAGCACTGCCAAAACTCCAGCCATCCATGTCACATGTGAAAGAAGCCTCATTAATCTCAAAAACACAAAGGGTACGTTTCACTGCCTGTGTTCAGCTCCTTGAGTAGGGCCAGACCCCTTGTACAGTGAAGGACTCAGTAGAAACCCACGGCATCTGTTGAATATACCCCTGATTTGGGGGGAAAAAAATTCTGACGCTCAGACACCACTCCTGGCTGACAGAGGGCAAACCCTCCAGCCTGGAGAGGTGAAACAAGCTGGAACTTGTCTGCCTTGTGTGGGACACGGGTGCTCAGAGCCCCCACTGCCCTGGAGAGGCTGGAATCGCTACTCCCATCACACTGCTGGCAGTGAAGCCGTAAGGATAGATCCAGAGGAACATGTTTCTTGTGACTGAAAAGCTCTGAGCCTGCTCTCTGCCCTGGAGTAACCATCGTTAAATGCTGCACTCAGCCAGAGTGTGTCCAGGGCCACCAGGGCCTGTCACTGGAGATGGGTAGGGACTGAAATTCCCAACCCATGCTGATACTTACCAATGCTGCCAAAATACCGCTGGGTGAGTGACAAAGCTTGCCCTAGCTTTTGCCCTGTATAAAGCAAAGCATGTGGGCCCTCAGCCATTTGTTTTCTCACTTAGGATGAACCTCTGTGTCAACGGGCAAGAACAGGAGGCGGGTAACTGGAGCAGTGCTGGTCCTGGTGCCAGGGGAGCCGGCACGGGGCAGGCAGTGGAGCACAGCCCATCTGCGAGGAGCGAGCCAAGCCAACACCATGCTGTAGTGCTCCTCTGAGGTGAGCTAAATATACCCTCCCTTGCCTGACCCCCATGGGCATGAGCGGGCATGGGTGGCCGGGGGGTAGTGGCATGAGCCTGGAGGCACGTGGCCACAGCCCTGGCCTCTCCTGCCCTGCCCTAAAAGGCACTGGTGCACAGCCCGGCCAACTGGGGAAAGAGAGCAAGAAATAGCACAGAGACAATGGTGGATGAGCAGAAATACAAGCAAGCCAGGGAGTTACCACCTGGCTGTAGGCAGAGGCTGCTTAAAGCAAGGACAATGGGTACACCACATAACCACTATGTGCAACTCTTTGTTTAAGCTCTCCTTCCTCACAGATGATCTGGCTCTTTAAATAAGTAATAAATAGTGAAACATGCTGATGTATGTGTGCTACTTCCAATCCATCTTTGGGGGGAGAAGATGAATGTTACCCAGCGCAGTGCAGCTCAGACTGCCAAGGGTCCCATAGGGCACGTCTACGAAGCAGGACTAGAAAAGGTGAGTGAATTTAGCTGAGCCTGAAGTAGAAACACCTGAAGATATTTTCTTTCCTAGTCTAAATGCAGACTTCTAGCTCCAACATCCCTGAGTCTGTTGTACTTAAATCTCCTGACTTAACTAGACCATGCCTGAAACGGTAGCCTTTTTTTATGATATCATTGGCTAACTTGACCTATTCTGTGCATCAGGTTCATTCAGTTTAATCTCACCCCCCATATCTAGTTAAGCTAATGCCCAGCACAATGTTAAATAACTTTTGCTTTCTTCCTGGCAGCTCTTTTTTTGGCACTTCTCATTTTATTTTATTTTTGAGGAAGGAGGTTAGGGTTCTACATCTTACAATATTAGTGTTGGATATAGATGAAACAATATTTCATACAACTTATCATTTAATTTGTATTGTATGTTAGCTTTGGCAGTGCAGGCGTTGTAGTCATGCCAGTAGAGAAACTTTGATCTGAAGGAGTGTAAAACTCAGCCAGGCTTGAAGTAGGGTTGCAGAAAATAATTTCAAATATTAGAAATCTGGACTGTGTTTTGGGGGATATGGGTGTTGTTGATGCCCTAAATATCCCATTTAATAAGAGGTATGACCTCCCTGCAAAAATCAAGGACCATTTTAGGTCAACATACAGCTAGGGACGAAGAGTCACTCTGGACATGTGTGGTATTCACTAGACACATTTTGGGCACTGCCCCAAGCTGAATCACAGCAGTCATGGACATGTACGGCTCGAGGGACCTCCAGAGATCACCCAGCCTCTCTTCTCCTCCCCTTCCCTCTCTTCCTGTCTGATATCCTCGACTGATATTTGTTTAACCTTTTAAAAAAATCTTTGGCGACAGGGGCAGCCCTCCACCAAGGCATAACTCTCCTGCTGGTTACAACATGTTTTTTTCTTTAGCTCTAAACCAGCTCACTCTCACCAAGAAATAGCTCACCTTCTTCCCTGCCTACCTGAAGACTAGTTGGTCTCATGTCAAACCTTACATAGTTGACACATTGCCATGTCTGCCCTCATCCTCCACTCTTCCAGCCTGGACAAACCAGTTCTTTCAACCTTTCCCTATAAGCCGCATCTTTCAGGCTACCACCATGTCCCACTCACTTCCAAGCTCACCTGCATCACCCTCAGAGGCAGTGAGATGCCATCCTCTGCCGAGCTCAGCCCAGAGGAGGGAGGAATGGTGATTTCCTCAGCCTCACATCTGGCATGACCACTAACACCTCCCACTTGGCCCCTTCCCTGTCTCAGACCATCAGCTGCTGCCTTGCCTCTCACCTGGGCCTTCCCTTCTCTGCTGCTGCCAGCCCAGCCCTTCCCCACGGCTTTGTTATCCTCTTGAGTCCTCCTTCTAAGTATGTGCTCTGCACTCCTCTGTATTGAATTGCATTTTATCGATCTGAGACCATTTCTCCCATTTGTCAAGACTGCTTTGATTTCTAGCCCTCCAAAGTGCTTGCAAAGTGTGTTACCCCACCTGGAGGTACCAACAGATTTTAAAGTGTGCTTTCTATCCCATTACCCTCCTCATTGATGATATAAATAATAGCAGCATGATCCAGTGGTGCTTGCTTGCTTGCTGCTCTCCCTCCCTGCCGACATTGCCTGGTACCGGGGCAGTGAGCATCCCTGCCCATGAGATGCAGGAGGGACATGGGCTTTCTACCAGTAACGGCAGACCCCTGAAGACAAAGGGTAAAGCACATTGTCCCACACAGCAGCATATCTAATGCTGCTGGTGTCAGGCATTAGAGCCTTGTTCCTGACGCAGGCATGCCTCTGTCCAAAGTTTAAAAGCTCCTCCTGTGTGTGGGGGGAGTGTGGAACCTCAAGCCTGTAGCCAGAAGACAAG